GACGGTTGTGCGCTGCTGCTTGGTGAAGGTAGGCTCAAGCCAAATCTTCAAAGAGAAGGTGTGCCAAGCAGAGCGAGAAAACCCCTAACATCCCAGTGACTTGGATATAATCCACTTTTATTGGGTGATTCTGGTCGTGGCTTTGGTGAGAGACGCACTCTCATAAGGTTGTTATGCAAATAAGATAATTCAAGTAAAGTGCTTGGCTCACTGCAGGACACTTAGTAAGTGGTTCATCGGTAGCAATTATTAATAAAATTACTCCCTGTTCTCCCCAAGCTGTTAGGCTTCCCTAATTAAAAATCTGTTAGCTTTAATGCTTTCCCAGTTCCAGTGCCTGAGTAGTGTTCCGTAAAGCAGTAACTTGTCCTATTCAACAGTATCCTCTAGTACAGAGTTAGAAACATACACTTAAATATCTATGATCCAAGCACGTAGAGCCGTTGGAACACTCTGCCAGCCTCTGCCACTTACACTTCACTGTGGGTCTCAGGTTTTAAACCGCCTCTGAAAAACAGCCAGGAAGGAGTTGGGTGGGGTGTAGTCTCAGTGAGTCACCAGGGTGGGGCAAGTGGAGCTTATCGGGATTTGGCACCTGCCTGCACCTCTGAAGCCACACAATTCAGTTTTCCCCTCTGTGTGCCCTGGTGCCTTTTGGGCTGCTGGCTCTTAGCTGTAGCTTAGGGTGAACGTTTGTGAATGAGTGAATCTGTGTGTGGGCCCTTTAAGAAGGTGCCTGGGTTTCCAGCAGCCCTCTATCTCATCAGATGGAATCCCCGCTGATTTTTACAGCCAGGTGTGTTGGAGACTCCTCTTCCCAGCACTGGTGCTCCAGGCTGGGGGACCTGGCATGGGGCTGGGACCCCTCACCCCCTCATGGGGGACCTTTGCAGCCAAGATATCCCTCCCGATTCTCAACTGCTGCATGTGGGTGTGAGTCCAGCCTGTTTCTCGACTCTGTCCTCCTATCAGTCTCAACATGGCTTCTTCTTTATATCCTTAGTTACAGGAGCTCCATTCACTAGTCTTCAGATAGTTCTCCAGGGTGTTTGTTTTATAATTTAGTGGATATTTTGATGTGTTCATGGGAAGAGGCAACCACAACATTCATCTACTCCACCATCGAGACCGGAATTTCTCATTGTAGTTTTGATTTGTAATTTCCTGATGACTAATGATTCTGAGCATCTTTTCATGCGTTTATTGGACATTTGTATATCTTCTTTGGAGAAATATCCACATCCTTTGCCCATTTTTAAATTGGATTATTTGTATTTTTATTGTTGAGTTGTGTTTTATGTATTCTGACTAGCCTCTTATGCCAGATATATGATTTGCATACCTTTTACCCTCTTTTGTATATTTTTTTAAACATATTTTTATTGATTTCAGAGAGGAAGGGAGAGGGAGAGAGAGAGAGAAACATCCATGATGAGAGAGAATCACAGATCGCCGCCTCCTGCAGGCCCCATGCTGGGGATCAAGCCCACAACCCAGGCATGTGCCCTTGACCGAAATCGAACCTGGGACCTTTTAGTCCACAGGCCGACACTCTATCCACTGAGCACACCGGCCAGGGTTTTGTGTATTTCTTGATAGCGTTCTTTGAAGCACAAACGTGCTTAATTTTGATGAAATCCAATTTATCTATTTTCCTGCATATTTTTAAAACTCAGGCTCTTCCACATCAACACCTACGGGCATATGTCATTACTATCCATATGAATATCATTGTGTGGAGCTCTACAGTAATTTTTTCAGACACTTCTTTTATTAATGGGCTGGTTTTATAGTTTATTACTGTTACAGATAGTACTGCAATGACCATGGGGGGGCATATATCTTAACCTTTTTTACAAGTAATGTCATAGAGTAAAGTCTAGAAGTGAAATTGCTGGATCGGTGTGGGTGTGTATTTAAAAATCTTGATATGTCTCTTAAAACATCAGTATGATTGCCTGTTGCCTCCCTCCACACACAATCCTCTGGCTCTGATGAGACTTTGGTTTTAGGGGAAAGTTCCACTGAGAGCTGTATCATCACTTAACTGTTCCCCTTTGCAACCCAACGGGGATGCCCGTTCTTGCCCACATGTCTCTACGGCCACAAGGTCAGTTCCCAGGAGTAGGTAGAATTGAGGGCTCCAAGGCAGGTACAGAACTTGACCCACTTGTTTGCTTACCCTTGTGTGTGTTTCTCCCACAGACAAACAGACAGCCTACGGGTGTTGGAAGTTTCAGAACTGCAAGTACGAAGACCTCTCAAAAAAATTCGTAGGGAGCAATCTAAAGTACGAATGCTGCCAGAAGGACCTGTGTAACAGAAGCGGTGGGACGAGCATAACGGGCACCATGGCTCTGCTGGTGGCTCCGCTGCTCACAGCATTCTGGAGACTTCTTATCTAAATCAATACCAGGAGAGAGTCTCCTAACTCCCTGCTTCTGTGTATTCCTTATCTCCTTTGCTGCCACAAAAGCTTTCTATTTTCTTACTGGATCCTTTGGGGAGAGACCAAAACTAGCTTGAGCAACTTGGATAAGAGAGAGGGAGAGGCCTGGAAAACCAGTCCTGTGTGCAGAGAAGGCCCCTCTGAGGGAAGACGTTTAGGAGTGAAGCATGTGCCATGACAGCTAGGTTAGTTCCGTGCTGCCTCCTCTGCTCCGTGCCGCAATAGCTTGACTAGATTCTCTGCAATCGTCAGTTGTTTCCCCACTTGTTTCTTGGATGTAGGTACCAGTATGATCAGTGCTTTTGGGGAGCTGGGGGGAGAGGGGAGGTTGGAGCAGAGGGGGTCTTTTCACCAGTGTCTCTCACAGGAGATGCTTTCATCCCCTCCTTCTATGGCCCCTGTGTTGCCACGTAGGCATGAGGAATGTTCCAGATGTGGGCTGTCAGGGGCAATGGGATTCTAAGAGCAGAGTGATTGGAATGACATATTCTCAACTACAAGGTGTCTGGCAGAGCAGGAGGTAAACTTTCCAGGTGGCAGGGCAGAGAGGCACCACGTCTGCCCTTTAGAGAGGTGCCAGTGGCTGAAATCAATTTTCTTCTTT